ACACCTTTTATGTTTCACTGGTGACTTGGAGAAAATAATTTGCGTTGTTGAGAAACGAAAAATAAATTTTAAAAATATTTAATTTTCAACCATAATTCGGCGTGGAATTTTCTTACCGAATACCACGCGAGGTCAAATTAATATCAGGAAATTTTTTCTCGCTCATGAATATTTTTAGAAAATTTTCATGAGCTCGAAAAAATTTCCGGAAATAATTTGACCTCTAGTGGTATTACTAGTGAGAACCTACTAGCAAAAGAACTTTCAGAGTTAACAGAGATGGTTTTCAACACAAAAAAAGTGTTTTGTCATATGCACTGTCATACAGTGTGTTAAAACCATATGGAAAACTTTTTTATTATTGGTTTTGTGAAAAAAATTACGAGGTTTGTCAAAAAATATGAATTTTACTCAAGAGTAAAGTACCTTTATTTTTTACAATACAGAAGAATATTACAAAGTAAAGTTATTTTGAATTAAAACTTATATTAAAATATTTAATTATAGTTATTTAGCATTAAAATTCAGGTTTGGTAATTATTTAATTTATAACTACAAATAATTTATAATCTAAAACGTAAATAATCACCAAACCTTAATTTTTATGCTAAATGACTGTAATTGAATATTTTAATATACAGAACTTTTTACCAAAATACATTTTTTCACAAAACCAATAATAAAAAAGTTTTCCATATGGTTCCAACTAAAGTAGACACACTGTATAACTTGGAACGGTCAGACAATTGAGAGAAGTCATAATAAAAACAAATGTTCTCCTTACCGATATTTTTCATTTGAAATATATCTTACTCCTATTGGGGCAAAACTACCTTCTCCTTTCAAAGTTCTTTAAATCCTTAAGAAAGGATAATAATAATTATAATGCAACAAATTATGCTTTAATATATTCTTTATCTCTATATTTAAAATAATTATATGTTAAAAGATTTAGTCAGACCGCTTTGGCCTCCACCTGAATTTAGTGCTGGCTGGCTACTTGCTAACATGTCGCAGGTAACTTTTCTTCTTAACATCACCCGAAGATTCACACCCTTAAGTATCGGCACTCATTAAATAAACATTATGTATATTGGGTTCCAACAGCAGTACAGAACCGACGTTTTGTATTTCCAGGACCATCTTCAACTTATTTTTTTTGTATACAGTTCTGGATTTTTAACTGTAATTTTTTATAGTTTTTGTATAGTTAAATACAAAGATATGATATACTCGTATTTTTATTTTGTTTTCCTAAAAGAAAGTCATGGTAATAATATCATACCTTGAGTGAAACAGTTTTTTAATTATTTTGTTAAAACATAGGATGAATCAAAATATTTTTAATACTAGTCGTGGTCTCCACACCTATTTGTTTATATATTTTTTTATAAGTTCTTGATTGGTACACGAGTTTTCTTTCTTTAACAAATTCTTCAAGCCACCATGTGTAACCCCAGTAACATTATATTATTAAAGTTTAATAAACATATCAAAACAGATACAGATAAAATTTGTCTTATCATCATATCACGTAATAAAGGTAAATTCCAATCACCACCTATGTTTCGCGGTGTTACAGAATATGTATATTCACAGACTCGGTGTGATGAAGTGCACTGGGAAACATTAGAGAAGATTCTGCGTCACATGTTAATCAGGACAAACAGTATACACTTGTTAAGAAACTTAGCAAAGTTCGTGCATTAATATTAGAACTTCGGTATACATATTCGCACGAACTTGCACAAACGAAATTATGTTCTAGACTAGCTTATTGGGATTACATTAATAGGAACGTAAATTTGTAATGAATTTGCACGTGATTTGAACAGTGTGTAAGTTTCATAAAAAAATATTAGTAGGCTTTAGAGTAAATCATAAGAAGAGATGAAGATATCATACAGTATTTTCATACTAATAACGTAGTTTATTTAAAACTAAGAACCATAAGTTGTTTAACAAATTTATTGTTAATATTCATTTACTAAAAAAAAAGTTGTTACATTAGGAATTAAATATATTTAAAATTTAGAAAGAAAAAAAATCGGTGTGATAGTTTTAAACGTATAGCCAAAAAAACTTTTAATTTTCGTACAAACTTCAATCGCGATTATCTCAGATTATCATTTTCAGAGTTAGGTTACTAATGTTCTCACTATGCAATATATTATCCATTTTGTAACCCTTAACTGGTACGGTGGGGTCTCTCGTGACCCCAGACGCGGTATATTGGATGTAATTTCGCAATATTCGGCAACACCGCAGCAAGCATCTCAGTAGCCGTATGACTTACGTTGGTTTAGTTGTCGATGAGAACGCATGTGAGCAACATTGATTCGTTTTCGAATTATTTACGTTTGGGGCAACCAGAGACCCCAGTATACCAGTTAAGTTTTTTTTTATGTTGTAATGGCGCGTAAAGTTTTAACAGATAAACAGCTGGAAGAAGTAGCTGCGAACCTAAGTGATCCTGATGAGTGCGAAGAGGGTCTAAGTGACTTTGATGAATCTTGTGATGATCTTTCAGACAAGGAAAGTGAACATAGTTTACATGACTCAGAGTCGGAAATAGACATTTTCATATTTTCCTAATTAGCCTCATGCTAAGGCAAAATCGGCCACACAAGGGTCACATTCGAACGATGTGTTGTTACCTATACCAAAACTCTTTATTGAAGTTTAACATAGTTATTTAAATTTACTGCAAACCTTACTGTGGAATTTAACCTTGAAGTACTGCATTTCACAGGTTTAGGAAGCTTTAATATTGACACATCCAGGATATTAGAAAAAACATAACCTAAATTGCCTTTTCTTCTTTAAAAGCTGACCTCATATTTTTTTAAATCGTGATCTGCCACTAGTTCTTTGCCGATATAGTACTTGATGGTTTTTTTTTATAGGAAATTGAACTAAAATGTAATCGTTGATTTTAATTAATGTGTCATTATTCTGTAAATCTGAAACATCAGTTTCTTCGTCCTCGAGGTCTATATTGTCTAGGTCAGACGAATGGGAAGACCATCTGCCTTTTGTAGGAACTGAAATGTCTGAAAAAACTAGAGAATTCACCGGCAAAATTCCTGTTTTGGAAAATGCTTTTACAATGTTTATTGGAGTGAATGATAACAAGTATAGTTCGTGAGAAAGTTGAGGAATATTGTTCATTTTAATCGTCCCAGATTTGGAGCTTAAAAAGTCGTTTAACGATGACTTGCACCTTGAATTAAAAGGCCCATATATTCCTACATCCAAGGGTTGAATCTCGTGAGTACAATGAGGTAGAAACTAAAGTAGTTTTATGACGTTTTCTCTACAATACAAAATAGCTGCAAGGCTAAAATGAGTATTATGATTATCTACTATTAGTATTATTGGGTTATCAATACTACAGTCTTTATGTTTTTTAATATGTTCCAACACCTCTACAAAAATCTTAGCAGTCATCCACCCAGTCTCTGATCCAAAACAAACGAAGCCTGGAGGAGAACCAATCAAATACTCATCCTTCATTTGTACCCGTGGAAAGATTTAAATAGGTGGCAATGAAATTCGCGATGCTGCTATAATCCCCAATAATGTTACTAGGGTGGCACGCTCTTCAGAAGAGACTTGTCCAACCTGTATGCAATTGTTTTTGGGGCTTGTAAATTAGTTCAGGATTCTGACTGGAGAGAACTTGTATTTTTCCATTACTGTTATATAATTGTCAAAAAATTGTTTAACGTTAGTTGGATTAAAGGCACTAGCTCGTGCCAGGCTGGTATTTCTCGGTTGTAGGTGGGATGTCTTTTCATAAAATCAGCCATTCAATCTTCATCGGTCATTTTGTTTTTATCTCATGACAATGGATATTTCTTTTGTAGTTTGATTGCGTATTCGTACACTACAGCACAAGGGTTCTTGTAGGTTAACCCCAAATGCCGAGTGGATATCTGAATTAAATAATCTTATACTTTATTTTCTTCTTAAGAGTTAAACATACTCTTTGCTGCATATTTACTGGATATTTGATCTTGATCTTCCTCTCCACTATCATTTCCAGAATCCCTATTTTGTTTTTTAAACAAATATTTTTAGACGATCGTGGATTGTCGATTTTTTAATATTTTGTACTGAAGCAAGTCTGTCTAGAGATATTAAGTTATCAACTATATCAGATATTGCAGCTCGTATGGGAAATATTGAATTTGAGATGTCTTTTTGTAAGTGTGAACCATTCTAGACTAAAACAAATATATCCTGTTGGAAACTCCATTTAAAAAAGTCAACTTCTATTACAATGGGGCACATTCGGACTGAATGTGTTTCAGTTCATATGTCCGAAAGTGCCCTGGCTGTAGTTAAAGAAAATAATCACGTGCAACATTTTTTATGTTAGTGTTATAAAGCTAATAACAATGTGTTTAAATTCCTATTTTATACTAGTTGACGATACTCCAAATATATTTCGAATATATTACGAAGTAAAGTGGAAAATATTTAACAAAAAGCAGAAAACTTAATTTATAAACAAACTTGTAGCGACAACTGTATCAAATTTTTACAGCGGCAACAACAACACTGAAACTACGTTTAATTGTAACAACTTTTGTAGACGATAAATTTAAACTGTCCGTATGTGATGCGTGTCTGAATGTATCTCATGCTTTCCTAGTGCGAATCCTGATATTGATATAGAAAAAGTGGTGCAGATAGCAACACTACCAAAATATTGACGCTAATAAGTTAATTTTTACCATATTTTTTTAACCATTTAATTTGTATTCACAATTTTCCACATGCACCTTTGTTAAAATTCTTTAGTCAAGTTGACGAAAAATATCTTAATAGACAGAGATGCAACATTGTTATTGAGCTACTCAAACTTTTAAAGCTGGTCTGCAAAAATATTGTTCCGATTTTTTATTAAAACAAAACAAAAAATATATCACTAACGACATCATTATAAGTTCCAAACGACTGTTGTAACTTTTTTGACTTTTTTTTATTTACAGGGGAAACTTCTCAATATAAACGTGAACGCAGGTATCATTATCAGCAACCAAAGTTTGGTCCTTCAAGGAGTATCGCGAGCAACAGCTGGCAACTACACGTGTGTAGGATATAATACGGAGGGAGATGGCGAGAGTAATCCGTTTTATCTCAATGTTTTATGTAAGTAAAAAAATTGTGTATATTTTCAAGCAACTATATAGATCTGATATTTTTGATAATGATAAATTGAATATTTGAATTATATGAATGCTATTTATTCTTCAACTTCCGATAGGACATGCAATAATAATAATAATAATAATAATAATAGCTTTATTGCCCAACAGTTTCCCATTTACAGGACAATATTCTTAATAGTAGGTAACAATAATAAAGTGGTATCTAAAAATAAAATTAATAAATTACAAAAGTAAATTCTACTTATGGGTTGTGATGTAACATATATTTACACGAAAACTAATTAAAAGTTGCAAAATAAAAACTATAATAGAAAACAAATGAATATTGTGAACAAGCCAAGAATATATTAAAAAAAAAAAATTCTTACAAAAATAACACAGGGAGAATTCAATATAATACAATATACTTATTACAATATTTCGTTAAGGAAAGTAACTGCATTTTTAATTAGTTCACCAAGAGAACAATGAAAAATATCGCAATGACTACTAATTTTATTGTAATTGTTACACATTACATATAAGGGTGATTTTAACATCAAGTTGGTTTTTGCCCTAGGGCATTCGAATAGCTTGTTGGTTCTAGAATTTAGACGGGGTATATTAAATTTAATTTGTGACAAAATATCGCTACAATCAATAAAATTGTGCATGAGTTTAAATAGAAAAATAAGCGAGGATGTGTTCCTTCTTAGGCTCAGGCTATTAATATCAAATTGTTTACACAACTCCGTATAATCACAACCACGTTCGGGATATACTCCATCAATTTTGAAAACTAGGTATTTTAAAAATTTTCTTTGAATCCGTTCTATATCCAGAACGTAGCAGTTGTAATAAGGGTTCCAGATCAGACTACAATATTCCAGCTTAGAACGCACGTGGGTACTAAATAATAATTTAAGGGGTGCTATATTTAAAAATTGCCTGCAGTTTCTAATAATGAATCCATACATTCTAAAAGCTTCGGAAACTTTAACTTGAATATGATTTGAGAAGGTTAATTTAGCATCAAAAATTACACCTAAGTCCCTAATAGTAGAACATCTCTCCAACTCATTATCTCCAATCGAATATGAGAATTGAATATTTTCTCTTTTCCTAGAGTAAGTAACTATCTTACATTTTTGAGCATTTAGGTGTAACATATTTGTCTTACACCAGTTATTAATACAGTTCAAATTTCTCTGGAGCTCATTGCAGTGATCTGTATTTTTAATACTTAAGAAAATCTTTAAATCATCCGCAAAACAATTTATTACAACTAATTTCATTGTATAAATCATTAATAAATATTAAAAATAGTAAAGGTCCAAGATTTGAACCCTGTGGTACTACAGATGTAACCGCAATTGATTCTGATTTAAATCCGTTGTAAGTAATTGTGTCCTATTTGATAAATATGACTTAAATAAAGCTAAAGTGCTGTTAGAAAAACCAGTCTTTGAAAGTTTTGAAATTAAGAAGCTATGCTTAACTCTATCAAATGCCTTCGAGAAATCGGTATATATCACATCCATCTATCCTTGGTCATCTAATACATCCGCAATAAATTGTGTAATCACAGTTAAATTTGTTACCGTTGACCGTTTGTCTATAAACCCATGCTGATATGGTGAAATGTAACTTCGGACAAATGGATATATGCAATGAAAACAAGAAGGCATAATTAGATGATATTATATTAAGAAGTTAGGATTCTTTACAACATAATTATTACCATGATAAAAATGCCGAATTGATACAAATACTTTCAAATACAATCTACGAAAAACGTTGCCGCCTTTATGTTGCGAAGGCCCTCACGGTTTTAGAATGACGAGAGGATCATTGCACTAAAAACTTTTGAAGTTCTTTGGCTTTTGCATCCATGACGTCATTATTTCGCGAGAGAGCACGGAGAGAAACGAAAACAAACGACAGTGACAGTGCAGTGACTGGCCAAATGGTGACTGCTGCAGTGCAGTCCCAGAATACGAATTTATTCTGGGGTGCAGTGCCAAAGTGCCATATATTTAATTTTAATAACTTTTTGTTTAATCTAATTTTTATTGTTAATTACATAATAAATTTGTTTGGCCATTTGACAAATCTACGTTTAATTACAAACTTTATATTTTAGCAACTTTTATGTAAATTATGTTTTTAAGATAATAGGAATCATACTGGAAGAGACTCAAAAAAAATTAAAGAGTATTTATTAATTTAATTAACAACGATCATGTACGTACTACCGCATCACTTTCGGTGCTTAAAAGGCGTTGACAAAAAATTGTTCCTCATCCTCTGGAAGAAAGGGCGTAAGCCCTATTAGGACGAGGACTGTCACATTAAAAAAGAACTGGGTAAAATCATTACCAAAATTTTAATTAAAATGAAATCTGTTATAACAAGTTTAAACAATATATTTATTTTAAATATTAGTAATTATATATTTTGACTTTAAGAAAAGAAGTACCTATTTTATATAATATAGTAACCTTCCAATACATTTTTAAAAAGCAGGTACATACCTAACAAAATAACCACGAAAACTAAACAAAATAACTAAAATATTTCAGAGGATGCTGTTTTTTTTGTATATGCATGATCAAAACCTGTTTGAATGTTAATAACTTCAGCATTAGGATTTAAAAGTGCAAGTTTTATTACTTTTGACTCATATGGTAATGGATTTTGATTTGAATCATTATGGTTTCTTTTTATATGTCTAGCTTTACTTGAAAACATTCTAGCTTGTGGTTCAATGTTTTTGTTAATGTTAACCTTTTTCTTGATTTTGAAATCAACTTCATTATCTTCTGCATAAGCTTCAAGTATCCAACTCTGTTTGTAACACTTTTAATGATTTAAGAACTAATATTTTATCCTTATTAATACTTTTATTAGAATTTTGCACCCAGTTTTTATTTACATGCCACGTACATAAGAGTCTGTGAGGTACGTCACCCATTACAGATTTCCATGCCAAATAAAATACTGAAAAATCATCAGACATAAAAACATTAGTTGATATTAGTCCCACTTTTTCTCTGATCATTTCATAAAATGTTATGAATATTTTTTTATTAGATCTGTTAGAAAAGCAGAATAAAACAGGTATTTCATTACCAAATTCTTCAACCACAACTAAGAAACCCATACTGATTCAGGCCGTGTATGTCATCAATACATATTTTGCTAGAACCAAAAGAAGTTAATGACTTTGCTTGAAATTCGGTCATTATAATTAAGATAAAATCATCTTTATTGAATGTATCATGTTCATCTCCTTGCTCCTTGTAATATAAAATTGAATTTTCTTCCAAACTCCTCATTGCCCGTACCCATAATTTTACACTCATGGCATCATTTTTGTGCCTTTTAGTTGCATATCCAATAGAATAATCACGCATGATATTATTAATATCTTTCTTGTCTACTAAATGTATCCTTTCTAGCTCGCTACTTGGAAAGTTTTCTCTCATTTCATTTCATTATTATCTACCTTGTGATAATTTATCTAAAATGGAAAAAAATACATCTTTACTAAACATGTACATTGAATTTGTTTTGCTTATAATTCTCATAAAATCACAGCACAATAACTTGTGTGTTGTGTGTAAAGACTTATTAGTTAACAAACATTATATTAACCTGCAATTTTATGTCTATTTTATTAACTTTCAAAAGGCCTATTTCTTGACTATGGCCAATATGTATGGGATAAAGAACTACTGACACCTTTTCACCATTAAATGTTACAGTAAGAGTGAATGGACATGCTCGACCTATCTTATTTGTTTCCATTGACTTAGTACTCTTTTTAGGATTTTGTGTAACCCGTGGAGTTAAAGAACGGTTACATTCATAATATCTACGCCTTTTTATCTGTACGAGTTGTGCCTTTAATTCTTGTTCTTTCTCTGTCTTCCATTTCATGAAATCTAAAATACCAAAAGAAATGATAATAGGTACATATTAGTAAACTAAAAGTTCAATTTAGTGACAATTTTTACACATATTATGAATATTATGAGATTATATTCAACGTATCTGTTTTATTAGTGAAAGTGATTTGATATGGATTTAAAAATTTTTAGTGACTGCTATTTAAATTGCAGTGGTATGTCATTGTATACCGAAACTGCACGGTAAGTGAACGACCTATGAAACATGGTTTAAATGATATCTAGGTAGCATACGAGTAAATGGACTTCTTATATCCAGATTGTTTACATCTCCACGATAAATAAGCTTTTCTTTTAAATATTGAGGCATACCATTTAATAAAATTTGACATATGGTATAGGAATAAACTAACAAGTTTAAGCCATCTAAGTTCTTGAATTTTGTTTGAAATATGATCATATTTTCTTAGGCCAAATATAATTCTACAAAATGCATTTTGAATCTTTTGTAATTTAGTCATTTCGTCCAAGGACGATAAAGAGTTAAGTCATACATTAAAATGGATAGGACTAATGATTCACATAACAGTTTGCGCAATGAAAAACTAAGAATGTGACGGTTTCTATAGAGCAATCTAAGAACAAAGTAAGATTTTTTTAATTAGTGACATGTTCTTTGAATCTCGGTTTACAGTCGAATATAATTCCTAAATTTTTAGATTTTTTTGAACCCCTTCTACCCCCATAGACTATGTCTATGACAACAAGTTGATCGCGACGCACTTTTAAGATAAAAAGTATTTCTTGTATACAGAAAAGTTGGCCACCCCTGGTATATGCTATACTTTGATGAGTTAATTAAATCACTTTTTTCAGTGATAAATATAAAATTTGTACACCATTTTTATTAGAAACATTGACTGAAAATTTATTTCAGATGCACCTAGCTGCAAACCAAATCAAACGAGAATCTATGGAGTAGCAAAACAAGAAAGAGCTCAAATTAGTTGTCATGTTGACGCTAATCCTCCAGATGTTCAATTCAGATGGACTTTCAACAATTCGGCGGATTCCGTTGATGTCAGCCAATCCTATATTGCCCGAAGTGGAACATCAAGCGTGGTGTCCTATACACCAATGACCGAGCTAGATTATGGAACGTTGCTGTGTTTCGCTTCCAATAGGATAGGAATTCAGAGGACACCTTGTGTTTTTCATATAATAGCCGCAGGTAAGACTGTTTTTTTGATATGTTAATAATAATAATAATAATAATATTTATTGCTTCTAAACCTGAGTTACAGCAATGAGTACAGATATAAAAAAATTAGATCTTAAAACATAAAAACAACATTATTCTTCCAGTACAAAAGAGTGCAATTTTAATATATTCCAAATATATTCAGCAATTTTCCTAGCTTCAAAAATTGTTATATTTTGTAAAGTATGCAGCAATGAGTTTACATTTTCAAGGCAAGCGATATTTTGCTTCATTGTTGAGTAAATAGGGCAATCAAAAAGTATGTGAAAAATTGTTTCTTTTTCATGTGTATTACACACAGTACAATCTAGTTCGGGGTCAATAACATAACTAATACCATTTAATGTAAATGTAATCCTAAAATGGTTGGACATACGCAATTGAGCAAGAGTACGGGTAACCTGGATTGGTAATTTAAAGAGTAAGTATGTACTTGGTTCACAAGATGTAGGAACATAATTATATAAATACATAAAAGGATAGCGAGACGCTATACTAACATCTGAATCATGTAAATGTGTAAAATACTTGGAAAGCAATTCTTTTCTATATGAACTAAAAGAAGGATGGTTTAAATTGTTCCATTTATGAACACAATCAATATCAACAAAGAACTTTTTCAACTGTACTATCCAGTTATACTTTATATCTGTAGAGTTGATCAAACGCAATTGTTGTTTAAAACAAAGCTTTGGATATCGATGATTATCCATTGTCATTTTTTTTTGTATCCAATTAAGGGACATCTTAAAAATATTAAATGCAAACTTTACTCTTCCAGTCTCTAAACGGATTATAGCATCAGAAATAGTGATGGGAACTAAAAGAACTCTTTTAAGGAAATATAACTGGACTCTTTCCAATACATCTAAGTATCTTAGGCCCCAAACAGAAATACAATTAAACATAACACTAAGGGCAAGTGACTTAAATAATTTGATTCTAGGATGCCAAGTATTAATTTTAGCTTTCGACATTATCGGAAGGAGAGAACCTATAGCCTGTTTACCTTTGTTGGCAGTAAAATGAGCCATTTCATTAAAAAGACCTGATGAAGTAAATACTACTCCTAGATATGTATATTTATTAATTATAGAAATAAGTTGGTTGTTAAAGTAAAAATTAAAGTTAGGCGTCCTGAAACCTCCCTTAGAAAATTGCATTAGTTTTGTTTTCTGTAAATTAACATTTAATTTATTAGCAACAGTATATTTTTCTAAAATTTTTAACTTTTTAACAACATCAATCTCAGAGTGTGCTAAAATGACAAGGTCGTCAGCATATATTAGCTACAAAACATCATTTTTGATGTGTTGATATGTGTATGTATAGATTAACCACACAAATGCATTATTAGGAATCAAATATGGTCGCTTATTTAATAAGAATTAAAATCTTAGAATCAATACCGTACTAATAGTCTAACTAGTTTCGGACTATGTAGTCATCTAGTCATTAAATGATTAAAATGACACTCTTAATGAAAAAATTAAATTTTAATATTTGTTTAGTAATGGGATGACTTTAAAATTATCTGCCGAGTGACGTCACGGTTAACCAAGAATAAATTGAACTAATTCAGCTATCCTCTTTGATTGATAATAGTCCTTATATTTGGCTGGCTGGCTACATTTGTCAAAAAATTAAATTCCCTTGTTTCAAAAAAATTCAAAAACTTTTGAAAAACACAAAGTAATTAAGATTAAAAGTTTACGAAAAGTACATTGTTTATTACTTTATGTATGATGTAATATTATTATTTATTATGTACTACAACAGTTTAGTCGAAATGGATAAATAAATCGTCGGATGTGACTGGAAATAAATTAATAGACGTATTGCTTTTTAATGTGTTTGGAAATGTTATGTCAAAAATAAGGTACTTTTTGTATTTTTTTTTGTTTATTTTAATTGAACACTTGGAAAAATCACTCATTTGTATTAACGGAGCATGATAAATAAATAAATTTACGTAAATGTTCCTTTAATGATCCTCATAAACCCTAAATACAAGGTGTCCCAACTTTTATTAGACAGGCTTTTATAAAAATTATCAAAATTAAATGAAATTTAGAAGGGTCCTACAATGATGTTTGCTATCTGATGAGCGTATTTTCAAACATCAAGAACTTCCTGTCATACCGAAAGTGACCCGAGTTTTGTTTTTTTAAATGGGACACACTGTATATTTCAATAATTCTGTATTCTCTTATCACATTTTTCATGTAATCGACTCATCAGATTACCCACAAGTTTTATAGCTCTGATCTAAATTTCATTTGATTCTGATAATTATTATAAAAGCTATATAAAAATTTTAGAAAAACGTTTTATAGGGTTTTCGGTGATATATTTGAAAAGTACTCTCCTCCCAAACACCAAAATGTAACTTTTGTGAAAAAAATTGTATTTTTAAGAAAAGAGCATCTTCCCAATATTTACAGAAATTTAATTTTTTCATTTTATGTACGATTATTATCGTAAGTAAATCATAAATATATGTTTTTGATCACTTAAATTTTTTATAATCTGGTAATTTATAGATTATAAAAAATAATCTTAAAATTTATAATTTCATAAACAACTTGGTGCCGTTGTTATTTTCAAGATAATCTGTCACTTAGAATGAATGTTTTCTGAATATAGCCTGTAAAATTGAGTTATTTTGTAATTTTTTTGAAAAATGCTGGTTTTTTCGTAACTTTTTTACAAAAATATACTATAGATAATAGTAAAATTCGTACCTTCGGATAGTAGGATGAAACTTCAAAAGCTATATAGAGATGTAGAGCTAGAAGACATAAAAACCTTAAGAGAAATGAATACATTAGCTACTGACTAGATCAGTAGTGAGATTTTACGTACTCTTTGTCTGCAAAGTCTTCCTTTCCGAATAAAATTTGTAATATTATCAAGTGAAGGGTAGATATTCATAAGATGACACAAATCGCTAAAAAGATTTTAGAAGTTGATACTTTTGGCATAGATAATCAAGTATTTGTTATTTCTTGGCACAATTCTTTTGCCGCTAGGCAAGATTCATATTTAAATAATAACTCAGATAAAGAATATTTAATTAAATCTTTCGACAAACTTCAAAAGTATACATCGGCATTGCAATCAATGATCACGTTCACTTTCTCAACACAAGTATCAAATTCGAAAAGCGATAATAAGCAAATGTTTTTTATCACAAATACTTTGTAGAATAAGCCAGATAATGTACTCAACCATCTACATACCAGCCAACACTTGATATTTCCCAATCCGAAAACTAAGAGAAACATCTCCATTTAAGATGTTGGAAGATGTTACAGTCCCGTAGCAAAATCGTCTTTTCCTAACTGATCTGGCATGTAATTTTTAGGAGACATTGGTACTGATGTTTCTGTTGTTCCCAAGCCGAAATCAGTCAATTCCAAACCCACTTATTTTAACTTATATGCCGCAAATGGTTATGTAATTAACACATATGGCAATAAATTATTAGATTTATTCCAACAGCTCCTTTCTGATGTGTTTCTGACTCGTGCATGGATGCATTCGTAAATCAATCACTGCGCATGTCAGTCCGTTTATTCGTCCGTTGTTTAATCAGCGACTAGTACTTGTTACGCAAAATGCAATGGAATTGGACTAACCAAACACATGTTCGGTGAATTGGTATTTTAAACATTATTTAAAATCCAAAAAAATACATTTATTTTTAGCTGTCTGGAACGCTCTATATATATTTTTATTAAAAATAAATACGTATTTTACATAAAAAAAACCGTATACAAGATAAAAACAAAAATTATTCATTTCAATTAAAAGAAATAAAAACCTAAGCTACTCAAAGCTAACTTAAAATTACAATTACAAACAAATCCTACGAACGAGACGTTCAAATGCTCATATACTGATAAATTGTACAAGCGATGAAGCTCTGATCGTTTTGACAGTCCACCGACTTATTCATGTATGAATCAGAAAATACGTTGGGACCTTTTACTAACAGTTCATCGGATTACCCGTGGCTTTGTAGGAACGGACTATTTTCAAAGCGCATGCGTCTGACGTTCTTCTGATGATCAGATTCTCTGTTGAAACAAATCTATTATGTTTAGATTTGTCACATCGCATATCTCTCAAATGGCTATTTGTGATTGCAGATGTTTCTCGTCCAATCATTGGTGAAGATTTCTTAAAATACCATGGTCTTTTAGTTGATCTGCAACATCTCAAATTAATCCATACAACAACTCAATTATCTTAATTTATTCATTGCTTCTAATATAATCCTCGCACTATTAATTCTATTGTCATACATTTTGTATTCCAGCATTCTTGAGATTTTACGTACTCTATCTGTTCCTCCTAAAGGCAACCGTTCAGTTTTTCACCATATTAGTTACCTACCAATTTTCCTCCTTCATTCGAAAAACCCCTGCCAATTATTTCCTGTAAAATTAAAAGTGGCGAAACTTGAGTTTGAATACATGATTGAACAGTTATACAAATATTACTATGAACTAAAGTAGAAAAGCAGCGTAGTTTTTGAAACTGAAATTTTTAGATGAAATTGTACTACGAGTTAGTAAACTACAATATTAAATTTTAAAGATAGAATAAAGGATCTTTTAATTTACCAGAAATAAAAGATTTGTGATCGCATCCTTTCTTTCTTGAGACTAGTAATTTTTGTATAATAATGACTCATGAAGTGAGATGAAAAATAACTCTCCTAAAATACAAAATACAAAATTAGTATTTAGTTTTTCAATAAGTTTTACCAATGACGTAAAGATGACGTCAAAATAACATTTGTAACTATGATTTTAAACAATGGTTTTAAATTGTGGTTTCAAACTATGTTTTTAAACTATGGTTTCGAACTATATTTTCAATCTGTTTACATACTATGGTTTCAAACTATAATCAAAAACTTTGGTTTCAAACAAAGGTTTCAAACAGTCTTTTATTTGTTG